TTTTTAGTAATATCCAAATAGGATTTGTGAAACATAACTATGTTATTCCAGGACATTTCCTTCACCCCCGAAAGAAACCAGGGCCCATTAACATACACTTCTCATTTCCCCTCCCTCACCCCTGTGAACTTCAAGTCCACTTTCACTCTTTATGTATTCTTCTATTATATGTGCTTCATGTACATAGAATCACATAACGTGTAGCTTTTTGTATCTGGTTCCTTTCGCTTAACATAATGCTTTCACATTTCGTCTGCGTGGTAGGCAATGTGTTTTACTTGCATATCTGAACCAGACTGGGGTAGAAGAATGAAGTGGTGTATCATTCAGCTTAGCAAACAAAAGGAAGGACACCTGAGTAACTCCAAAAACTTAGTCATTTTAATCATTAGCTTCTACTTTCTCTACCTCCCACAACCCCTTTACTAGTGATGATTTTCAACGGGAGCAAAATTTGCTACTCCAGAATGTCTCTGGCATGTGGATTGTTTGGAGCTGAAAACAATCAAAGCCCAAAAGACTCAGGAATAAACTTTGACATTCTGCCACTAACTGCCTAAAGTAATTTAGATAGAGGAACTGTTCACTGAACAGCTATCACCAGATATATCTGCAAGGAACATGGGTTGGGGCGGGGAATTGGGTCAGACAGAGAACAAAACAAACAAACAAAAACCAAAAATAACTGCTTTGTGGTTCAGATAAAAACAGATAATAGCAGATAGGGAGGTTGAGAGGAAAGAACAGAGATTTCAGAAGTTCAGTTTGCTTCCTTGGTGACAGATTCCATGAGCCTGGTAGAGAACACACAGTGATACTGAGAACATTTAGAGATCAGAGTCCATTCTGTGTCCCATTGTCTCTGCATGTCCCGGCACACTTTTTTTTTTTTTTACCAAACTTTTGCTTTTGCATCACCATGTGAATTGCCTTCCTCCACTTGAGGTTCCAAATTACTGCCAACATCCTCTTTTGCCTTTAGCTGAAGATGATACTTATTTGAGAGGTTTGGGCAATTTTGGTGCATTACTCAGTTCTCCTGGGTCTCTCCTATGTATACACGCTATTAAACTTTTCTTGGATTTGTCCTGTTACCCTGTCTCATGCCAGTTTAATTCTTAGACCAACCAGAAGAACCTAGAAAGGGAGAGGAAAATTTCTTCCTTCCTGACAATTTTATTCTGCTTTTTGAGAGGTATGTCATCAATAGCCCATGGTCCTATGGGTAGCAGACAAAAAGTGCCAAGGGTATAGAAATTAATAAATTCTATAATCAATTCTCAAAAAGTTTATGTGTAACACATTTTCTATATACTGACACAAATAATATTTGATATTGTTTTTGGCATAGAGGAGATCCCTGTTACCCAACTGTTATAGTAGAAACTGGATTAGCTATTGAAATCTTAATATTCTTTAGTTATGGGACATAAAAATAATTCTGGATGCTCTAGGGAAGTTGCTCAGGCTGGCTTGTTTTAGCCCACCTTATCAGAGTCAGAAACCCCACTGCCCTTCACAGACCCTAAAACTCTTACCTCACCTACAACCAATCAGAGACTTGTGCACAAGCCAATCAGGCACCTTGTGA